GGGGGGGGGCCGCCTGGGAGCCGGCTGGGACTGGCTCTGTCGGACACGGGGGAAGCTTCTGGCACCTCCTCACAGAAGCCACCCCTGCAGCCCCCCCCGCTACCAAAACCTTGCCACGCAGACCCAATACGGGTGTCTCGGTGAGAGCTTTTCCCTTCAACAGCCTCTTGCCTTGAAAACATCCCTGCAGCGCTGGAGCTGGTGCGATGCCCCAAGTTAGAGCTGGGCAGCGGGGAAACCTCACTGCATCTTCACGTGCAGCCCTCAGCTTGAGCTCCTCTTCGCAGAAGACTTTTCCCGTTGAAAGACAGTAATTTTGTGCACGAAGTTACTGCTACGAGCAGGGCTGAGGTGACGACTGGGATCTTCGCAAAGCGGCACGGTGTGGGGACCCCTGGGGCACAGGGCCAGCCAACTGCATCATCAGTCTTGTTAATGGCCTGAACCCATCGCCCTCAAACGAGGAAGAGTTGGCGCTTAACTAGGGCCACTTAATAGCTCTGAGATTAATGGAGGCAGCGCACGATGCTCCGACGCAACCTAAACTGCCGCCTTTAAAATCCACACATTTCCCAAGGGCTTTAGGAAAAAAAAAGGGGGGGGGGGGGGATGTTAGCTCTGAGCCAGGTGTTTTTAAAACCATCAGCTGAATTACTCTCTTGTCCTTTAGCTTCCAGAGGGTTGTTCTGCAGCTTTAGATTTCGCTAATCCTTTTAACCAAGTTGTTCCAGGCCACGAGCAGGGTGGCTCTGCTGTTTTACTGCCAAAATCTCTTACGTTGTGCCCTAGCACCTCTCCTAATGAACCCAGAGGACGCGTGTTAGGCAAGATATCGATAAAGGTGGTAGTTTACTCCAGGCCAGAGATCCCAACCCTCCTGGGCGGAGATCAGGAATTGGGGAGTGGACGTGCGTGCCGTGGACTTGGGTTTTTCCTCGGCTTCAGGTTCGCGCTGAAGCCGAGTGAATTTGGGTCCCTTCAGGATGTTTTTGGCTGAGGGTGATGCTCTGCTGCGACGTCGCAGGGGCTTTGCCACTGCTTAGAAATAAATTTGCTCAGGGTTCTTTCTGGTTTTTCAAGCTCTTCCCAGCTTCAGCTGGAATGAGGGGCAAGGGGGCATCTCAGGTCTGGGTTTCGGGTGTCTTTTCCATACCTTAAATTATCGTAATGCTTCCCTGGGGCGTTGGCTGGGGGGTTGTCTGGAGCAGTGGTGCTTACTACGGTAATGTGCATTTAGGAAATATGTTACTGCTATTTTAAACAAATCTGTCAAAGCAGCAACGGGTAAAAATGCTGCAGGGATGTGTGGGCAGGAAGGGGTTACCAGCCGCACCGGGTCACTCCCTGCATAGGAGATGCAGAGCCGATTCCTGGAGAGCCATTTGCAAGCACCGCAGTTTCCAGGAACTGGCTGGAGGGATGAGATTAGAGGAAAGAGAGGCTGCTTTTCTTGATGGAGAGCTGTGTCCTATCTGTCCTTCTGTCCCTACCCACCAGCTGCGCCGACAATGATGCCACGATGCTGAATTCCTCCTCCCTCTCCCCTGATGACTAATGTCTGCATCTGTGAGTAATTAGATAAGGTGAGGGGGAAGGCTGCTGCGCTGGACCTGTCCTGCCGTGAAAGGCAGCCTGGGTCAGTGGGGCTGGGCTCACCCTGGGCGAGGGCGCTGTGGGGTCTCGTTAAGAGAGGAAGGAGAGGGAAGAGGCTGTTTGGGAGCCGGGGGGGTTCGGAGCCATCCTTTTCAACCAGGAAATTGGATTGCGGCTGCGGAGCCCACTTGTCTCTCTGAAGTGCAGCTGAGCTCGTTTCTAGGAGTCGTTGGACAGAGTTTGTTGGGTTTTAGAGCCCTTCAGTTCCTGGTAATGATGCCTGCACCTGAGCCGCCTCCTCTCAAGGGCCTGTCTTTGGGTTTTGTTAAGCCCGGGGTACTCCGAACTCTTGCCTCACGTTTCACCGTTGTTCCCGTGTCGCTTCCTCCCTCCCTCGCAGCTCGCAGCCTTTCTCAGGACAAAGGATGGGGCCCGTGATTCAGGGCAGGTAGAACAGCTCTGTTCCTGCGTTTCCCCCCTTAAAACCACCGTAATCAGACCAGATGCTAACGAGCATAAACACCCCCGCTCCAGCACGGCAGCCAGGGAGGCCCGGCGCCGACTGTTTGGAGAGGCCGAGCTCCTTTTTGGCACCATCCCTCCATGGAAATGACTTTCCGGCCCGGCCCTGGCTTCTCCAGCTCGTTTGGCGTCGCGCTGAATTAAACCATTTTTGTCGTTCTTCTCACAGGCGTTGGCACAAGGAACTACTACAGGAAGATCGGCTACGAGCTGGAAGGGCCTTACATGGTGAAAAGGCTGGACTGACACCGCAGGAGGTCCTCGCCCCGGCCAGCTGCTGGGGGGAGAAGATTCATCCTGGAAAGAAAGCTCAAGGTGACAGACGTAAGCTAAAAACCAAAGCCTGCCAACTGCGAAGGACTCGCTTCTGCCGGAGCCCACGGCAGCAAATCGGGCATCTCCCCTGGGGAGAGGAGATCTGGGATTGAGAGGCTGGGGATGTTTCGCGCGCCTCGTTACCTGCGTAAGCCTGCCGTGTCCCTGGGACGGGCTCTGATGCGTTGCGAGAGAGGGCTGAAGCGTAGGTGAACTGAAAGCTCTGAGTTTGGGGACCCTGTTTAACAGCCTCGTGAGAAAACCATCTATTTTCGTCTGCGGCGCTGTCAGCGGGCTTTTAGCGTTTCAGCATTGAAATTGTGTGGGTTATTCTGCTACGCAAATGACTTCTTTCTCTGTGTGCATTTATTTGTGCTCCTCTCTGTCCATCCCAGGCGATGCCGTTTGATCCTTTTACAGTAGGAGACCATGAGGATTGGAAGCCGTTACCTTGCTAGCGGTAGGAATTGAGATTAAAACTTAAAGTGAATCTTTACAGGGACACACAACCGTGGAGTAACTGAGGGTAGAAGGGACCTCTGAGGTCTCCAGTCCAACCCCACTCAAAGCAGGGTCGCAATTCGATCAGGATGGCGACGCTTGATTATCTCCAAGGGTGGAGATACTCAGTGGAGGCGGATGGAGAGTCCGCACTGCCTAAGTCCCTGTTCCAGTATTTGACTACCCATATGTTGAAAAAGTTTTTTACTAATATCCAATTGGAGTTCATGGTGTTTCAACTTGTGCCTGTTGCCTCCTGGCCTGTCGCTGTGCACCTCTGGGGGGGGGGGGGTAAAGTCTGCTTCTGGTCTGAGGGGAGACCTGATCACCTTCTACAACTGCCTGAGGGGAGGCTGTAGGGAGGGGTGGTCGGCCTCTTCTCCCTGGGAACAGATGATAGGACGAGGGGGAATGGTTTGAAGCTGCGCCAGGGCAGGTTTAGGTTGGACATTAGGAAAAACTTCTTCACTGAAAGGGTTGTCAGGCTCTGGGATGGGCTGCCCAGGGAGGTGGTCGAGTCCCCACCCCTGGAGGTATTTAAAAGAAGGACAGATGAGGTGCTGAGGGACAGGGTTTAGTGGTGGGATGGCAGGGGTAGGTTAAAGGTTGGACGCGATGATCTCAAAGGGCTTTTCCAACCAAAGTGATTCTATGATCCTATGGTCTCCAGGCTTCTCCTTGCACATCACGTAACTCCAATGCCATAACCATCCTCATGGCCTCTGCTCCGGCTTGTTTGTAGTTCCCGCACCAGATTTGCCGCTTCTCCAGCCCCGTAACCCGTTGATTTGGGCACACGGATGCCATGTGGCAGCAGCATCGGGGGCCCTGGCAAAGCCACGGTGTACAACACCCACGGCCCTCCCGTACCCATGCTGCCCTCGCCTCCTCACGGCAGGCAGTCGGGTTGCCCGCAGGGGATCCCTCCTGGCCCTTCCCAACTCTCTCTTCCCTTCTCTATCCAACGGGAAAGGGCTCTGGGGACGGCTCGGTCCTGATCACTCCCAGCCCCGTCGCTCCTCAGATCTTCCTCCTGGTCCTCTTTGGAGATGGGCGTGACGGTCGCCTTTTCCCGCCATCAGGAATTCTATCAGGAATGATAGAATTAAAGCTTCGTTTTGCAAGCGGAGTGAGGCGGGATACGAGAGCGAGCTGCGACCCTGGGGGAAGAGCTCAGCACCATCCTCGCCTGGCCCCAGCCCTGCGGTGGGGATGGCGCAGGGCGGGTGGGTGTCCTTGGACATCAGCCGTTCCGGGTTTCCAAAAGCCGCGTGCCTGGTGCTGCCCGCTTGACTTGGCAAAATCCGACGGGAGCGGCCGGAGCTCTGACCTCCTCCGCTTCTTTTTTATCGTATTTCAATCCAAAACAGGGTTGATATCGAGAGCAGCGGCTTGCGGAGCGGTTGTCGTTTCGGGGGTTACTCTAATAAATGACTCTGCCAGGCGCCTTCTGGAAGCTTCGGCGGTAACGAGCGCTCGGCCACACGTGATTAGCTCGGATGGCTGCCCCGGCGGCGCGGGAGAACGCGCGTCCTTGCTGGAAAACCAAAATACCGGGCAATAAAGTTTTTTAATCATTGAAGGTAAACGCTGGTGTCCTGTGTTTCGAGGGCTGGGGAGTGAAAAACCAGAGAGCAGGCTGCTGGTACCTAAACCCCGAGCGTGCCTGAGCCTCTGCCCTGCACGGGGAGTTGGATTTAAAAGGAGATGGAGGCTGTTGCTGCTTGATTTATTGAACTGCGTTGGGTTTTGGGGTTTGGTTGTTTTTTTTCCCATCCTCTAAGACACTGGTAAATGGGGCATGTTAAGCTTCTGACACCATAAAAGCGGAGGAGATGGAAAGGGATGTAGTGAGACGGGATGCAATTTCTGTGCAGAATCCTTAAAATTTTCCGCAAAATTTGTTGTTCTGGTACCACTGACATAATTATGAATCACTCTGACGCCTACAGCTCTGACAGCCCAGTTTTTTTCCAGGTACTGGCCAAAAAAGCTCACCACGTCCGTGCGTCTGAACGCGCGGCCCTCCGGCAAATCTAGGAAACAGCGGATGAGTTTATTTTTTTTCTTTAAGGTGAATGCATTTTGAGTTTACCAGAAGCTTTATTAAGAAATAAAGCAATTTTTTGGGGGGGGGTGGTGGTGGTGGTGGTGTGTCTTATTTTTAGCTTCCCATTTGTGTGCTCGTTCTGGGGTGATTTCATGCTGCATTGGCTCAGCGTCTGCGAAAGTCTCCGGGCTTGTCTGCACAGGCTGGGGTTTGTTTTGAAGTGTGATGTATTGATTTGCCCGTTAGATCTAAATGCAGCTGAACGAAGAGCTGGGTTGTACTTCCCTCCGAACCCTTGCTTCTGCCGGGGACAGGGAGTTCATCCAAGCCATGTTCCTGGCGCTAGGGTTTGGGATGGGGGCAGAGGGTCTCGGGCGGTGGCTCTGCAGCCGGGGCACGAGCCAGCCCGGCTGGGGCAACCCGGGAGACGCGATGGGTTGAGGAAAGGAGCCAAGAGCTGCCGCCTCTCACCCTTTGTGTGTCTGCCCGAGTTTAAAAAGCTGTTGGCACGTGGCAGTCGCCCGTGGAGAGCTGGGGACGGGACGTGTTAGCAGGCGGGTGTGAATTTTCCACGGGTTTTAGTGTGGCTCGTAGGGTCTGCGGTTGCCTGGACATAAAAGTTCGGGCAAGATCATTTCCTGCGGTGCGCGATGGTGCCTGTGGCGGGGCTGCCGGGAGGGAAAAGCGGAAAAAACCAGGCTGCCCTCTAAAGCTGCTCTGAAGGGTTTTAGGCTTTCTTGTGTTCAGAGTACACCGGGCATGAACAGCACCAAAGCCACGAGGGCTGGTAAGGTTTCAGACATCTTTAGCTGCAACAAAAAAGGGGATGTGCAAAGGGAACACGAGAGCCCACATGGAGACAAGGGGCTGTGCAGGTCCTTCCCATGGTGAGGCCTGAAGCTTTCTGGCCACCTCTTGAGCCAGGCTTCATTAATACGGGGTGAGAGCATGGAACCAGGCATCCAAATAACAAACCGGGAAGCCCAGAGGGACCCTGATGTGCCTAGAGCCACGTGGCACGTTTCCCTGGTAGCCCTGCCTGGGGTGGGGAGGCGGCTGCAGCAGCACAGAAGTGGACAACAGCTCTTGGCCAAGGGGACGGCACACAACGGACATGGTCACGTTCTTTGCCAGGCCGGTGCCCGTGCTCCACGTCGTTAATGCTTGCAACAAACGTCTCGCATTTAGGTGCAGTCCAGGTGCCGGCAGTCGTGGCTACCCTCTCGTGCAATCCCTGCCAGGAAAGGCATCCAACAAATCTTTGCTCTTTGTGTGTGTGTGTGTTTTTCCCCACACACACTTCTTAAAAATTCACACGCCTGGCTGAAGATGAGCAGAGGGCCTTGGCCTGGGCGCCCAGGGAGGAGGAAGCATTGCTGAGCACCAAAAACTTTATTGTAAGAGAATTTGTCAGCTAGGGTTTAGTTTGGCTGAGGTGGGGTGGCTTTTTTCCTGGCCAGGCTGCTCGTTTGTAGGGTCCTGGTGGCCACGCCAAGGAATTTTCCAGTTGGCTACAACCTGGTTTTCATAGAATCATAGAATGTTTTGGGTGGGAAGGGACCCCTAGAGCCCACCCAGCCCAACCCCCCTGCAGGAGCAGGGACACCGCTAACTAGATCCGGTTGCTCACAGCCCCGTCCAACCTGGTCTTGAAAGTTTCCAGGGATGGGGATGGTTTTATGGGCTATGATGTGAGGGTTTGGGGGTTTTTTCCCCCTCCATGAGAACAGCAGCCATTTCAGTACAGGTCCATCCTTACGGAGCTATCGTGTAAGAAAGCAGCTAATAGCATCCTGTAATTAACTGCGAAAGGGAGAGGGGCTTTGGACTCCAGGGGCAGTTGTGCGTCGCTGCAGCCCGTGCAATGTGTCTGCCTCGTGCAGCCGTGAGCATCCTGCAGTTCGAGGTCGCCAGCAGGCCTCCCCCTCTACTCTGCCCTGGTGAGACCCCACCTGGAGTACTGTGTCCAGTTCTGGGCTCCCCAGGTCAAGAAAGATGAGGAACTCCTAGAGAGAGTCCAGAGGAGAGCTACTAGGATGATAAAGGGACTGGAGCATCTCCCCTACGAGGAAAGGCTGAGAGAGTTGGGCTTGTTCAGCCTGAAGAAGAGAAGACTGAGAGGGGACCTTATCAACACGTACAAATATCTTAAGGGCGGAAGTCAAGAGGACGGAAGCAGTCTGTTTGCAGTGGTGTCCAGCGACAGGACTAGGGGCAACGGGTGCAAACTGAAACATAAGAGGTTTCAGTTGAATATGAGGAAGAACTTCTTCACTCTGAGGGTGGCAGAGCACTGGAACAGGCTGCCCAGGGAGGTTGTGGAGTCTCCTTCTCTGGAGATATTCAAAGCCCGCCTGGACGAAGTCCTGTGTAGCATGCTCTAGGAGAGCCTGCTTTAGCAGGGGGGTTGGACTGGATGATCTCCCGAGGGCCCTTCCAACCCTTGCCATTCTGTGATTCTGTGAATGCGGCCAAGCCCAGGATGTGGTGGAAGAGTGTGTTGCAGCTTCATGGATTGGAACCAACCAACCACCACCACCCCCAAAACCACACAAAAAAAAAACCCCAAAACAACCCCACACCAAGGCGATTTGTATTTGTACTGACAGGCTGCAGCTCCTTCTTCTCCCTTCATGACGGGAATGAGGGCGATGAAGCAGACGTGGGCTCATGCCACTGTTCAAAAGATGAGCAAAGCCCAGAAAAACACAACTCGCCTGTAAAACCCAACAGCTCTCAAGGGCTGTGGCCGATTCCCCCGCCTGCAGAAATGAAACCTGGGGCTGGGAAGGCCCCAGATTTCCTTGCTCCGGGTTGAAATGGTGCCAAGGGAGGATTTGAGCCGCTGCTGCGGGGCGGGTGCTCGCGCTGCGTCATTCCCGCTGGGTAACCCAGCGCAGCCTCGGCCAGGCGAAGGCGTTCGGAGGCCGATGCTTCCAAGCAGGAGAGCACCGGCGAGGGTTGTGCTCCCCTGCCTGCGCCCAGCTCCTCCGCAGCCGATGGGGAAAATAAGCGGGCACGAAGCAAGCCGCTCACTAACAGAGGCTGCTCCCTCGCCTTCCGTGAGCAAAGAGTGGTGACCAGCTTAAAATACTTCGATGAAGAAGAAAAAGGTGAGTCATGCTCTTTTCTGCATTAATTTTGGCCTGTTGCCTTTCTCCTGCTCTGACATTTTGGGGATGTTAATGCTCTCTGCCTGTGAAGATGTGGCACACGGGCGGTGGGGAGCTCAGGTGCAGCTC